CGGGGGGCGAGAAGGGGCGCAAACGCCCCAAGCAGGCACAGAAGCCCCCTCCTGCAGGTGCCGAGGGCCCTGACACAGGGGGGGGACAGGCCAGGTGGCGGCCATCCTCGGCGGAACAAGGATGGGGACGGCAGAACCAGCGTGCACAACGCCCTCGCCGTGATCAGAACAGCCACACAACCGGCACAACGGCGGCGCCTCAGTCCCGAGCCACAGGTGCCGAGGGCCCTGATATGGCGGGGACGGGACGGTTCCCCGCAGGTGCCGAGGGCCCTGACACGGGGGGCCGCACCCAGAAGGCCCGAGTGCCGGATGACTGGCAGCACACCGCAACGCCAAGGGACACTCCCAGGAAGCAGCCGATCCCACTTCCGGCGCCCAACATCATCAAGCAGGACCCGGTGGTTTTCCACAAGAGCTCGGTGGGGCTGAATGAAGGGGGCCAACGCCTTTCAGCTACCCCCCTGACAAGTCCAACGGAGCCGTCACCGGGATTGGACATCTTCCCGTGGATGGAGAACATCCCTGAGCGTCTGGTACAGCGGCTGAGATGGACACAGGGCACATCGCCCAAAGTTCCATCCAGTGGGCCCATCATTGTCCTGCTCTATGCAGGCAAGGAAGACCCAACTTCCTTGGACAGCTGTCTTCATGCCAACTACCCACACCTTTCCAGCATGGTGGTGGCGGTAGACATCCTACGGTCTGGACCAAAAGGGGACCACGATATGCTCCAACCCAAGCTGTATGGAGCTCTTTGCACGGCAGCAAAGCAGGGCCGAGTGGTCTTCATTGGAGGAGGACCCAACTGCAGGACATGGTCCATCCTGCGCCACATACCAAAACCGGGGGCTCCCACCCCGGTGCGAGGGCGCACTCCAGAGACACTTTGGGGCCTTCCACACCTGGACCAGGCCGCCCAGACTCAACTTGATGATGACAGCATCCTCATTCTGAGACAGATGTACATCACCAGCCTGGCAAGGGCCTCACGAGCGGCGGTTTCTCTGCCAGGGCCCAGGTCCTTCCTGGAACACCCGGAGGACCCAGTGGTGAGCAGCTCGCTGCCCAAAGCCAAGGAATGCTCATCCTTCTGGATCACAGAGGAGGGGCAGCTTTGGATGGAGGAGAACTCCTTGACAGCAATCTCCTTCGACCAGTGCCGCCTGGGCCAGCTGGTCAAGAAGGCCACTACGCTGGCCACGGATCTCCCGATCCAGGACTGGGATCAAATGCGGTGCACGCATCAGTCACATGTGGGCACCAACGAGTCCTCGACTCTTAGCAGATACCCTTGGGATATGATGGCAGGCCTGGCCAAAGCCATCGCTGTGTCACTCGCAGCGCCGGGGCACATCCGGATCCCCTCACAATTTCCGGGAAACCCCAAGGAACCACCTAAGGGGCGGGGGTCGGACCCCCCGGAAGGCCATTCCCCCCGGGGAAAACGGGGGCCCAGTCAAGGAGGCGGTCCCTCCTCATCACACCAGGGCTCAAAGCCCGGAGGCAAGAACGCCCCGAAGCCCCGCCTGCACGGGCAGTTCCACCCTGAGGCAGACACCGTAAGCCCTCGTGGAACAATGAACCCAGACTTCCCATCTCCCATGCCCCCGATGGCCGGAGATGCGGAACAACTGGGGAAGGAGGGACAGGGGGACCAGGTCCTGGACCGCCCCGAATGCCTGCCCGCTTTCAGGGTCCCACACCTCACTGACCGGGTGGCGATTGTCCAATTGGGTTTCCGCTCACGCCCCCTGAGGGATGGGGGGGGAAAACCTTCCCCAGGGAGGCTCAACCCCCCTTTTCGGAGAATTTCCCCATTGGCTACTTTGGGCGCCCTGATCATGACCCTTACCCGGCCCTGGATTGACAAGGTCCGAATGTCCCTGGCATCAGGTGCCACCACACACCCCTTCCAGGAAGCCGACCTCGAGGAGCTGCGGGCTATCCTAGGACCGAGGCACCTCCATGAACGATGCCCAGGACAACCCTTCCTCCTGGACTTAGTGTCGCACTTGGCATCCCTTTCAGGTGACCCTGATTGGGAGTTCCCCCTAACACTGAAAGAGGGGGTCCCCTTGGGAGTCTCGGACCCTACCTTGACCTCCCCGGGAGTTTGGCCCACTAAGGAGGAGCTTAAGGGAGAAGCCTGGCTGGGGGAAGATCCCCCCCCGCCAGTGGCTCATGATAACTACCCAACGGCTGAACTCTTTGCCAAGGAAATCGAATCAACCTTTTACGAGGAACGAGCCTTGGACATGGTGGACGGGCCCTTCACTCGCTCCGAGGCGGCAGAGAGGTGCCGCTGCAAACCGGAGGAACTTTGCCCGGGCCCCCTTGCAGGGATTGATGAGTCGGACAAGATCAGGACGATCTATGATGGCTCAAAAGGGGGAGCAAACGCACACATCCAGGCTCACACGGAGGAGAAGACCACCGCACCGATGGTTGGAGACTGCCTCCATGCCATCCACTGGCTCAGGACAGCGGCGGACCATCCTCATCTACTCCATCCTCGGGCACTGATGAGGAACCTCGGGATGTTCACCAGCCGGTGCAGGGGCAGTCCCCAGGTGCCGAGGGCCCTGAGAGGGACCCCCACAGCACCAGCCTGCCCCCAGGTGCCGAGGGCCCTGATAGGGGCAGGCGGATGATGGAGACCTCCGGCGGCCTGGACGTCTCTCCGCGGTCAACACCCTCAGGGAAGGGGCCACTCCCAGGTGCCGAGGGCCCTGATAGGAGGGCCCCATTCCCCCCAACCCCCCCAGGCACGGAACGCCCTGGGGGGAGCAGGGGGGAACCCCTGACGTGGCAGCCGCCGACACAGGGGGAAACCTTCATCATCCTCAAGGCGGATGTCACCAAGGCCCACAGGCGCATAAAAGTGCTCCAGAAAGACTGGAAATACCAGGTGGCCTGCATCCAGAACCGGTGGTGGGTCAATAGAGTGGGCACGTACGGCATGGCCTCGGCACAACTGTACTGGGGAAGAAAGGCATCCTTGGTGCTCAGACTCTTGTACTACATCTTCCCTCAGGTGGACTGGCACTTAGTTTTTGTGGACGACTACTGCTGGGTCCTCAGATGCAGCAGGGCGGACTGGGACGCCACAGCCATCCTGGCCACTCTTCTGGCGCTGGGAGTCCCGCTTTCTTGGAAGAAGACGGCGCTCTCCCCGGTCAATACCTGGTTGGGATTCGTGGTGGACCCAATCACGCCCTGTGTGCTGCTGGCTCCAGTCAAGCACGTCATAATCCTGGCCACTCTCAAACGGCTGGCCCAGGGGGACATCTTTACCAGCAAGGAGGTGGAACAAGCCCTGGGCCGGATTCAATGGGCTACTTCGGCGTGTCCATTGACGAAACCTTTCCTCCAGCCCTTTTGGAGCTGGAAGAAGGCCTGCACCACTTCGGGCAGGCCACCGAAGCTGGTTCGTGCTCTGGCCATCCTTCTGGGGAAGCTCTTCAACCAGAGGTTCCCACTGGCATCTCCATTTGCTCCCACACTTCCATGGACGGGGGCATCTGATGCGGGAGCTGGCAAACAGGCGGACCATGCATGGGTTGGTGGTTGGTGCTCGGACGTGCCCAACCCCGACAAGTCCCGAGTGAAGTGGTTCCAACACAGAATCACACCGGAGGGCGAGCCGTGGGCCTTCACTACTGGGGACCCGCAGCGGGCGATAGCGGCCTTGGAGCTCTTCGGCCTCCTCCTTTTGGTGAGGGCTGTTCTGCTTTGTGCAGCCGGCTCGGCTTCTCACACTAGGATTCTGGTTGCTAGTGATAACCAGGGAAACGTTTTCTCCCTGCTTAACGATTCCACTCGCAGGATGCCCAATGCGGCCATCCTCATGGAAATTGTGTTAACACTGCATGACCACCAGGTCATGTTAGGACCGTCGCATGTGAAGCGCGACTTTAACACATGGGCGGATGAACTTACTCATCCGGACCCGCAATTTCCGACTGAGAACCGGGTCTTCCCCTCAGTCGAAAGCGAATTGATCAAGCTGATCTTCGCTACTTTCCTTCCTCACCCATGATGCCGGGAGGGCATCCGGTGAGGTGGGAGGATTCCTCCCTCGCTGTGGGAGTGGCATCAATTCTACTCCCATCAGCTGCTGAGGGGAGCTGCCCAGTGGAGCTGGGCAATCCTCCCATTTTGGCACTAATCCTTATGCGGCGTAAAGGATGCACCGTTTCGCGATTAAGGTACCAGTAGCACCAATGTGGTGCTTTGAAGAGTCATAGTTATGTTGTAGTTGGAAAGTAGTGGTTTTCCAGTTTTTGGATTTTGGAGAGGCAGGCAGACGGCCGGTTTTGATCAGGGGGGTTCTGGCGGAGATGTGCCAGAAATGGATTAGCCAGTTTTTGGCCAAACCTTGGGCGTTTCGGCTGGCAGTCATTGGGACAAATGCTCATTTTTGCATCAAGGGGCTTATTATTCATGAGTTTCTCCAGTGTTACTCAACTCACTGTTTGGTGTTAGTTTCGCTTTCTCGATGTTCCCAGTTCTTGTTTATCTTCTTCTTTGTTTAGTTTTCCGGTGTTTCCCGGGTGTCGTTTGTCGCTTTTTTCCGATATGTTTGGTTTCTTTTCTTCGGTGATTCAGTCATGCCGTTGCTGTCCCGTTTTGTTGCTTTTGTTTAAGCCGCATATGTTGCCTTGCTGGTGCTCAGAAGGGAATGAGAATTGGAATGACCCGCATCTAAACCATCCCTTGCTGGTGGTTTCCTTTTTGCGGGGACCAAAGCCTGGGCTCCTTCCATTTTTTCATTCCCTACTTCTATGTTCGGCACCGATCCATGGTTGTTGTTGTGAAACATTCTTCATTTTGGCTTATTGTGGTTTAGTGGGAAGTCCCCACTTAACTGCTAAAACATATATAAATATATTAATATATATATATATATATATTTGGGCTCCCCTTCCAACGTCAACCAAGGATCGCAAGCTGCCGCTGTTCCCAGCGTTCGTCACGCTTCGGCTCCTTGACGCCAGGCCCAGCGAGGAAGCCCAGCTACAGCCTCGGCTCCGAAGGCGCGGGCCTCGGGCCTGGGGCGTTTTGCCGCGCCAGTGGAGTGGAGGTGTTGGAGAGTTGCCCTCCCTCCCACTGACATGGCACCCAGGGGGTCACTTCAAAAGGAAACTGATCTTCCTTCTGCCCTTAGGTTGGTACCTCAACTGCCACTTGTTCGAACATGTGGGGTGGCTGATGTTTTTTGGGATTGCACCCATGTTGGGCTTGGTTTTAAGGGGAAACCTGAAGGATAAAATGAATGGTTGGGGTGCCATCAGAAAAATGATGTAGACAACCACTGCAGCGATTGGGAGGGTCCACGCTGGACAAAACGAGGAGAGAGGCCAATTTTTCCCCCGCCGCCATGTTTCAGCAAGCGGGCTTTCTCCCCAAAAAAGACCTCCCGTCTCAGCGGGCGTTGTTTGCTGGGATGGGTCCGGTTCTTGGGCTGAATCATGAGAGCAGGTGCCCGCAGCCCAGGCGTCCGATTTTGATGCACTGACGAAAATCCTGCACCACCGCCGTTCAGAGACCCTGGTTGAGGATTCGATTCCCCCGGTAAATGCCAACGAACAATGGTTTCAACCATGATTTTCAAGTGGTGCGAAATGGATTTTGTCCATCCACCGCATGATGGAGAAAAAGAAGCCGCAAGCCAAACCGTAAACTAGCAGGAAGCTGATGAAAAGGTTGCTCCAAGCCGTTACGAGATGATCAAGTCAGTGTAGATGATTAGTGAATGGTTTCCTTCAGGTTTCCTTTCCTTTTTGCGGAACAAGCCCTCGGAGGAGTCGGGTGGCCTTGTGTGAGCTGTTCGGGTGGATCTTCCTTCAAAGTTTACAAACATATAGAGAATTTAGACAGCAGGCGTAAACGTTGGTAAGAGAGCCATGACCATTTCCTTTTGTACACACAAGTCTGAGAGGCTACCAATTAGCAAGCTTGTCCCATGATCATGACCTGAACTGGTTGGATTGGGTTGAACATGGTCAAAGTTCCCGTTCTTTTCTGGTTACTAAGGATGGTTACGGACCCCAAATGAAAGACAACCATGATGGGCTTGCTGCAAACGGAGCATGACCATGCCCCCTTTGACCAGGGCACGTATGAGTACATAACGGAGGGGACACGTCGATGTGTGCGTATTTGCAGCATCGTGCATGTTCCCGGCCTAGTTAGGAATCCTATGTGAATCATCCGACTAAGGCGCCCTGTTGACAACTGTTGAGTTGGCAAACTAGCTGACTCATGTTTCTCATCTTTTGCTTGAAGCATGGCTTGTTCATTTGAGTCATGGTCGAAGAAAATCTAGCTATTTCTGTCCATCAACTTAGCAGGTCAGATAAGGCAAACAAGCGAGGACACGTTACATACTTGTGCCAATCCGATCTTTCAACCTTTTGGTTACCCTTGTTTGATCATGTTGAGTCTGTTCGTTTTGTTTTTGCTGTTTGTAAAGATTCCACACGGTGATCACCTTCTTCCCGGTTCTAGCCCCGTTTGGCAATGTTGGCAGCGGACTATACTATGAACCCATGGTAATGTTCGGCCAAGTCTGGCTGAACTCCCTTGTCGAGCCATTGAATGTTGTATGAGCTGACTTGAATTTCCTACAGACGCCCCTGTTTCGCTGAGATGTTCAACTTGAACTGACCGTTGATTTTAGGGCCAGGTTCTCCGTCAATTACTAAAGCGGATCTCAAGAAAGTGATCAATTGAAGTGATCAAGTAGTAAATCATCTTAGACTCTTCCACAAAGCACCGCCGGCTGGCCAGTACCTTACCTCACGGCAAGCGCGTGGACGAGGAACCCGTGGAGTTGATCATGACTTTGGGCGGCGAAGCAAGCAGGGCGCTTCTGCGCCAGTTCGGCATCAACCCCAAAAATAAAGCCGATGCTTGACCTGAGCTTCCTGCTTCCTGAGTTGTTTGTGGCACTGGCAGCGACTTGTTGGAAGCACAGACCAGGGCCTTGCCTCGAAGTGCCAGCAAGCGCGCTCTTGTCATGGACGAGACCGTGTGGCACCCAACGTTCGACCTCATCGCAGGCTTGCGCGGACCACATGGGAATCATCGGTGGTGCTCTGAGCGCAGCAGAAGATGACAGCCTTCTCGCTAAGATGGGCAGCAACATACTGCAAGCCGACAAACTTGCGCGCGTGGGTTTGGGCTGTGCCCTCAGTACTGAGAGGCATTTTTCCCCACCTTAGGTGTTAATGTAATTTGGCATTGGGAAATTCCAGGGCTTACCCACCAGTTTGCCAGTTTGGGAAAACCCTGGTCTGGCTGGTTGAAGTGAACAGGAAACTTACGCCGTTTGATGGTCGAGTCACTAGAGAATTGCCTGTTTAAAGATGTTGTGGGCAAGTGTTTTTTTTTTTTTTTTTTTTTTTTTTTCGTTTGATCAAGGTTCTACTACTTCATACCCAAGTTTAGATGCTGAAAGTACCCCTTGTCGACTCGGGCTCTCGCCTTCAGAATTCAGGAAGCATCTCGGAGTCATCCATTTACAGGTCTGGTTAATCTATACTTGAAGTCCCCTTTGACGTCTCATTTGCTTTAGTTCCCATGCCCAAGCCCAAAGGGCCTGACAACCTCTTTCGGGCGCCGTTTTAGGCACTTGTTGCGTGTTTCCTCCATTGCGGGTGCCCTAGCAAAAGCTGGGCTTTGGTTGTAAGGCTTCAGACAAATGATTTCGGTGGCTTTCTGATGGCTTGTTGTGATGAATCGGGTGCTTAGTTGGTTTCCTTCATCTTACGTTGCATAACTCGGTTCCTGATGTCTTCTGGAGACTAGAGCTGCGCTTTTTTGATCTTGGGGCAAACAGGTTTGCGAGTCGGATCTTGCGCTGCTTAGAATGCCAGGCAACCACAGGGTACGTAACGGGTCCACAACCCCTTAACTTTCCCAATCCCAGGATGTTGAGGGATGTTGAAGTGTTCACACTGCCTGAGTGGTTATTGACTTCTTCGGCTTGTTTTACCACTTGCTTTGTGTTTGCTTGTATTTATCAGCTAACTCATGGTTTGGATTGGTTGGTTCTAGAGTCAATTGGGAGCCACCCCCCAATCCCAACGGCAAATCCAAACCGCAAGTACAGGGTAAGCTGAGGTTGACGCCTCCAGCTGTCACCCGCCCTTCGGGAAGCATTGTTGAGGGAGTCTGTTGCGAAACCAGAGTTGCCCGAAACAAACGGACCTCTTGATCCTTTGGTTTTTCTAGTTTGGGCCAGTTTAATCAGAGGTTCAGGCCAACCATTTGTTTCCACGCCCTTTTGGACCAGAAAGCAGTGCGTTCGCCCAATGCATTTGCCCTGTGAGGCCACAACGCCAAGGAATGCCACCCTTGTGCGTTCTACTGGAAGGAGCTGCGAGCTGCGTGCGCAACATTTCGAGTCCGAGCAGTCGTTGTCCACAACGATTTGAATGTGGACAGTGACTATGGGATATGACTATGGGAATTGTCCAAAAGCAGCAATTGTCCGCAATTTAGGGATATGACCATTACCTAGTTGCTTTTGGAATATGTTTGCTCCCCCTCTGCAGACCTCCGGTGGTGCAAGGTTGTTCCTTTGCCCTGGAAGGATTTTCTCTTGAAACAACAACTACCCGAAAGCCGTCCGATGGCCGCCACGGACCCGCTGGAGCACAAAGCATATCTCCCAGATTGGATTTGTTGTTTCACTTGCGAAGGCTGGATTGTTTGCGCACGGGGAAGTCCCTCTCATCCTGAACTTACCTTGTGCTTATCAGTCGATCTATGTCCTGAAACAAAACAACAACACTAAAAAACAACAAACAAACAAATCAGGCGCAGGATGGGCAGAGCGACAGCCTGCACACATGACTTTTGAAACATTGCAAAAATAATCAACGGCTCGAGCAAACCTGAAGCACATGCTGCAACAGCAACTCAGCCATTGAAGTGAAGTTCCGGGCTTCCGGGCATGAAAGGAAATCATATTGTGCTACGGAATATTCAGTGCCCTGAAGCCACCCCCTCTCCGCCCTTAAGGTAGGGATTCGACTGACGGGTCCATCTGCCAGGACAAGGGCTGCAGCAGCGGGGCGGAGTGTAATTTCTGCCACCTCTGTGGGCAAGGCCGGGCGGCGGGTGACGGGTTGGGGGGGGGCGGGATTTTCAGGGACTGTTTCAAGCAACCCTGGAGAACGCTGAGGAATTAGCTTCAGGTGATTTGCTGCTGTCTCCCAGTTTTTGGAGAAAACTTCGGAATGCATGATACAGCCTCAGGCGGTCTACAACCAAAAGCATGCGTTCAGGACCTGAGGCATTTCATGTCGATTGCTCGAGTCCCCCCTGTGGTTTGTAGGTGTGTTTTCACGTTGGTACTGTGCAGGTGAACATAGAACCTAAAGAAGGAGTTAGGGGAAGCTCTTGTTGGGGGGGCTATTTTAAGGGGTCCATGACTCACTGAGGAATCTGCCTTTTGGGGGAGATCTTTCGGTTCAATGAAACAACTCATTTTGGGCCCCATTTTGGGCCCTGGTTGAAAGTCCGTGTTAATCTAAAGTGAATTATTTGGAACGGAAGCTAAGGACCGTGGCCACGGCATCCATAAGGAGCAGCGCCCAGCCATAGGTTCTGCCTGGTTTCATCGAGATTGTAGAGCCTGTATAAACCTGAATGACCATGTTAAAAGCCCAAAGTTGATGGCTTAAACAATGAAACGGGTTCTGCCTAATTTGGTGGATGGCAGGTTGCAGGATGCTTTCTCATTTAGTCTAGTCATCGAAATTCACGAGTCCAAACCTATGGGGACAGTCGCGCAAAACACCTCACCCTAGAAAGATGCTGCCCTAGAGTTCTTGTCAAAAAAGCTGTGCAGTGGCTGTCCTGGTTCCATGACCATCCCTACCTCAAGTAAAAAAGTGCCGGTTGATCATGACTGTGTTGATTGCTCTTCCTTTGGCATCGGATGATTTTTCGGGAGTCAGCCACCATCGGCCTCCCAGGTGAGAAGAAGCGCCGGCAGAAAGAGAAGCGGATTGCCGGGCACTCGGACTGCTGAGCAAGCAGACGAAATCCATTTCGCATCACCTAAGAAACCCTGGAAGGATGATTCCCCTGTAAATACCAATCAACAATGGTTTCCCATGGATTCCAAGTGGGGCAGGATTTCGTCCACCCACAGTATGAAAAGCATAGTTTCACATTTCTGGTTGCCCAGAATTGAAACGTGAGGTTCCCAGCCCTTTCCGCCACCTTAGACATCACACCCCGCTTAAAATTGACCTGTGGCTTGCCGAAACCAGCCTGGGCAGCAAGGTTGCAGGGTTCCCTATGGGTATCAGTATGTGCAGAACACCTTTTATGGGTATGCCTCAAATAGAGCGACCCCAACAATGTGACTTTCCTTTTGGTTTCCCTTGCAAGCTGGAAAAACAGTCCTGTACGCTCGAAAACACACACACACACACACTCATATGAATGTGTGTGTGTGTGTGTGTGTGTGTGTGTGTGTGTGTGTGTGTGTGTGTGTGTGTGTGTGTGTGTGTGTGTGTGTGTGTGTGTGTGTGTGTGTGTGTGTGTGTGTGTGTGTGTGTGTGTGTGTGTGTGTTTTGGAGCAAAGGGGATACCCCCCATTCATTGCGGGCCCCCCTATTTCGCCACATGCGATCTACCGCAAAAAATCCGGCGAGGTGTGGCGAAGCCTGGACCGCGTGCGCCAGGCCTTCACCGGCAGGAGAGGATGAGGGCGAATCCGAAAACGGGAAAGCGGTAGCAGGGGAGAAACCGGCTCCGGTCTCGGGTCTCCAGCAGAATTGTGTTATGTAGGGTTGGTAGGGTTGACGAAACCTTTAGGGACTTCTAGGCAAGATGGGGCTATGGGGGTTGGGATAAGCCAAGGATAAGGCCTTAAGAAGGCCCTATCAAGGGGTTAATACGGGATGTCCCCCCTCCCCGAAGCCCCCCCCCTAGGGTCCATGAAACATGAAACTGAATCTGAAATTATGTGTTTCAGTACCCCCAGATTTGCGCCAAGTTGTGTTTGCCGTCGTTCGGACATCTAGCAAAGAAAAGGTGGCCATTAAACTGAAGGTCGGGGAAACCAGTTCAAACCCACCAAAAAGCTACATTCAGAAAGGAGAATCCCTGAGTTAACAGACGAGTGGCGATATGAATCAATCGATGCGCACGCCGTAGTGGGCCTTGGAATTCTTTGGCCATGTGGGTCGGTAACTTTGGGTTCGGCCAATATGGTTTGTCTAGGGGGGGTGGTCTCAAAGCAGTGCTCCTCTAACATGCTTTGTTTCCTTTGGGTTTTCCTTGAAAAGCCATTTTTGACAAGCCCTCATATGCTCTCCACGTATCCGCTGGTTGTAACTGGGCAGCGCGCGCATCCCAGGAGCTTGGGGCCAATCTCCTAGGTTCCTTTCATGAGGATAGGCACTGGGTTCCGTTTCTTGGCAATTGGGTTGGATCCTCAATTCACCTGAAGCTTTTTGGGACACGCGTGTTTTCTCACAAAGGTTCTGCTATTGCCCAGGGGGCAATAGCAGAACAGATTTGTTGATCCCAAGGTATACTCTTGTCCCATGGCTATTTTTCCGAAGATGGGAACCTCTAGGTTTAAGTTTTTGGGATAAACAGTCAGTACAACCCTTGTCAGACCTATACAAACTTCTGCCATGCCGGTAGAACCCACATTCAATGAGTGGGCGCTCAAGTGAGTAACCTCTGGGACTCTGGGTTTGCCTCTCAACGATTGTGCTTCCAAAAGGGTTCTTTGCCGTCCTTGGAAAACAGCCCAACAAAGTGTACCCTCACAAGCAAAGACAGTATTTTGGCTCTTGGTGCATATGGCTTTGGTTCTATAGGTGGATTCAAAAACCATGTCTCTTGCCAGGGAGACGGCTAGGTGTGTTCACAAACTTCAGATGCGAGTCAAACAATGAGAGCGTCTTCGGTGCGACGCGGAGACGTTTTGGAAGCTGACAGCACCCAGAGACCAAAATGAGTTTCGCTCATACTCTTCGTCACTTTTTTGGCAAGGGGATTAGTGGAAGTGAGATTGTCTGGTTTGCCCTGGGCGTAGCGGCAGGGAGGGGTGCGAGTGTTTGTTTGTTTGTTTGTTTGCCTCCGCAGGATGGACTAAAGCAATCCAGATGCCCGGGCCTGAAGTTGATCACTGAGGTGGTTTGAGGCGCAAGGCATGTCTCAGATGGTGGTCCTTGGGTTCGTCTCCAATATAGGCCCCAAGAATAGATTGGCGTTTCCGTTGGTTCCTTTTTTAAGCAGCCCCGAAACAAGCATGTTGCCCTCACCACACATTTGCATCTATTCGAAGAAACTGGGAGCACTTTGACCGGAATGTGAGCACGAGGATCAGACACTTGTGTATGGAGTGGGGAGGGTTTGGCCCGATTTTGTCAGTTGGGGATGGTCATGCAAGATGTCCCCATTGTTCTTGGTTGAGCTCACTTCTCAAGATCCTGACTGTTCACTTTCTGGAAAGGTTGCTTCCCGCTGCTTCTCGGTACCGTTAAATCAGAGAGTTGTCCGGTGCCCAATTTGAAGCGTTTGGGTAATCTAGCATAGCAGTGTTGCTCACTTTTCGTTTTGGCTGTACGCTTGGCCAAAACTTTCATGCATAGACACGGTACTTTGCAAGCCTCGCTTTGTCGTAAGCCCTAACAGAGTCGTTCCGGAAACTGGCAAGAATCAAGAGGCAACACCATATGTGCCGTGATCCAAGCACCCCTTTTGCTTGCACTTGACAACTTGGTAGGGCTGGTCATGGACTGCTTTCAGACAACAGCTACTAAGGGAGCCAAGGATCATGACATCCGGTTTTTGACGGTGCAGCAAGAAAGCCGGGCTACCCGAAAGCCTTCATTCACGGAACCAGAAAGCCCAGGTCAGCGTATGGTATGTTGAATAGAAGCGAACGTCACGAATATGTTCGACCCCAGCCATGGGGCATCCTTTCATTGGGAGCTCTTGGTTGAAATTGCTGAAGTTATATGCCTTACCCGGGCTCCTAGTGGTCCTTTTCATATTCCCTACTGAACGCAGGTCATATTGACATCATCAAAACAGCCCTTTTCCTTGAGCGCTCATCCCCTGGAACATGTTCTCTCGATCCAACAAGAAACGGACAGATGGCATCCTTCTTCCTTGGGCATCTCAGTTTGCCGTTGTCCTGTTATTTCCCTTCTTGCTGGATTTAAACATCACCTTCGCGGCCCATTTGAGGTGAGTTTCCCTTGGTACGGGTCATGTTTGAGAGGACATATTTTTTGGTATATGTGTTGAAATAGGGCATCCCCAAAAAAGTGGTTCTCCTTTTGGTTTGCTTTTAAACCAACCCACTCAAAGCACCCGTACAGGGGCCTGTGTTTGCCGCGGGCTGAAATCGGAGGCACCCCAGCGGTCCCGCAAGCGCAAAAGTCGCAACTGCGGAGGCGGGCAGAGGGGCCGCGAAAAAGGTGACTTCAAAATTGGTCAGGAGGGAAGTTCCGAAAATCAGGCAGCAACAAGGCTTGGGTACGCACCTGCTTCCTAGAATCATGTCATCTTCCGGGCTAGACTACATACATGAAGCATAGTCTGAAAATTGGCCCAGACCTCCAGTGGTGCCCTTTTCCCACGTTTGGTTTGAGGAGTGTCCCTTCAAAATCAACTACCAAAAACAGTGTTTCCCAGGGAAGTTGGCAAGTGGTTCCCCTTCTATATACATGGATCCGGAGCAGGAGTCTTTCTGGTTGAGAGGGGTGGTCCCCAAGCAGTGGACAACAGCCTGATGATGAACAGCTGCAAGCGACTGGGATCTTTGCATTGAATTGGGCGACTGTGGATTGGGAAGACCTGGTTTTTGGCACTGATGGATCGGGAGGAGCCTATTCTACCGAGCCCAGAGTCAGGGTGTGTGCTTGGGCAGTGGTGGCCTGCAGTGGTGGGCGCTGTTTCTGGCATTCTGACAGGGGGGCCTGACAAGCAAACAAAGCCTGGAAAAAGCTGTAAAGAAGAAGGCAGGCCAGTGACATTGCGCACCTGGATCTCTGGCTGCAGTGTGTACAGTTTGCTGGGAAGGGAGCTGCTGTATATAAGGTCAAAAGTCATTTACAACAGGAGGGATTTGAGGCCAGATTTGGCCAGTCTGACCTTTGGGCTTGGCATGCCAACGTTGCAGCTGATGACTTGTGTACTGAAAGAGCCAGAGATGCAGCCATGATAGAGCTGCTATAGTTGATTGGGTTGGAAGGGCTTGGAAGCTCAATGAGTATCTCATTTCCAGAGCCCAGGAGTGGCTTAGACTGAGAAGACAGGTCCCAGGCCTTGTAAGGCGGCCCTGCTGAGACAGGTTGAGACGAAAGCTGGAGGGCACTCTTGGGTGAGTGCAGGCAAAAGCTGGCTCTGCAGCAAGTGTGGGCAGCAGCTCAAAACAAGGGGCAGTCTTAGTGACATAGAAATGAAGGCTGCTGTGGTCTGCACAGGACAGGCAAGCAGCACTGTGTGGGAGGCAAGTGCACCATAAACACACTTTTGCACTGGTTAAACCAGGGAGGTGGAGATGTGTGTGCAACGAATTGTTTGTTGCTGGTGCAAGCCTAGGAGATAGCAGGAGCGGGCTAAGCCGAGCTTTGTGGGTAAAAAATGCCTATGGCCACTGTGGGTCTCGGGGAGTTTCTGAAAACTAGCGACTCATGACGGTTTGGTGTTTTCTCAAAGGGGGCCAAATTCTATTCGAGAAACCACACACCAGGGAGTCTTACACCTACACCAGGGTAGATGTGGCTGTGGGCCAAAGCCAATAGTACCATTTTGGGATAGGTGCACCACCCATTTTAGTCTATCTTAGTTGGGATTGGGATGCTTACTGGGGGTACGGGATTTTGACCCATGGCCATGTCGATGGCACGTTTCTCTTGATTTTGGTAAGTAGAGGGGATGACTAGGGGGGAATACCATTTGCTTTTACCCAGGAGCCCAGTGTACGCCTGTTCAGCTTGCGGCCAAAAGTTTAAACACATTTTGCCAGTCAACTCAGCAGGTTAAGTGGGAATGGCACTTCTGGGGAATTGATTTGTGGTGTTCCTGTGAATAAAATAGGCGGATTAGGAGTTGCTGCTTAGGCAGGGGGAATGTGATCAGAGGAATTACCAAGCGCTACACAAATCTGAGATGCTTGCCCTTTCACGAGTTGAACCGAGTTTCGAGCGAAAAGCTTGTTCTGGTCGCCAATCGGGTGGCCCTGGAACGAAGTTGTGGCCGCTGGGAATACGTTTTTCCCCTGCGGTCAACATTCATGGGCCAATTGCAGCAACCTCACAACAACTTGTTGCATCCTCACTCACAATGATGCAGGGTCTCCTTTTATTGGTACCAGATCAATCATTGTAGTTAGAGAAAAGGGGGACTCCGAACTGGGTTAGTCCAATCCCACGTGTGGATTGCGATTACACTCTGTCAAGCACTCTTGGGTGAATCCAGAGGCTCCTCCACAGCACTCCTAGAAATATTCCTTCAAAACTTGGGGTCTTCCCCAATCCGGGATCGCCGGTTTTTCCCAGAAATTTGAGGCTAGGTATACTCACTCCTTGGGTGTTGCCCTTATTCAATCTCCAGGTAACGCTTGGGGAACCATTTGAGCATTGTTTTATTGCGGCTTTCACATTCAGGCCTTTTTCCGGCATGAAAAAGCTTTCACAGAGAAAAGCAGCAGGGACGGAAGATCTTGGGACTTGGAGTTGACTATGACCCATGGCGCCAGGCTGGGACTGGAAGCGAATTCGCGATGCACTTGGCCAACACGGCTTCCCAATTCAGAGGAACCGATTGCTACAGTGAACGTTGGGTCAAGCCCGATAAATCGGACGAGATGTGTCACGGATGTGAGAAGGCAACATTTGGGCGAACCCCCATGTTAGAATTCAATCCAGGCATGTTGTGTTCATAAGACTAAGACTTATCAGGTGCAACCTCCTGAGTTTCTTGGCATAGCACCTGTTCAATCCGCTCTGAGCAATGCTAGCCTGTGCCAAAAGCATTTTGGAAGTCTTCGTGTTCGAGCCCTGATGTGTTTCGAGTTTGATTGCAAAGGGCTTGACGATTTCAATATCCGTTTGTAAAGCGTAGACTGCATTGGCCTCGTCTTTTGCCCGCGCCCAGTGCTGTGCATGCGCGATGGATGGTTTGTTGTTACTATTCATTATGATGGGAGAGGGGTGTGAAGCACACTGGGGCGTTGTTTGTTCCTCGTTGCGGAGGCGGTTCTTTCGTGTTGCCTTGGGATCTGGTACTCACTTTGCCAGTGTGTGGACTTTTAGCTCTGGATCGAACTGTTCAATAGACAAACAGTCTGGAGGTTTTAGCGAGTGCTTCCATCAAGAGGTGAGCTTTTGTGTTGCCTCCGAATCAGGTAGTTTTGAACGGGTGGTGTGGACGGTTGGTTGGGCTTGAATCCCTGGCGCTTGAGGTAAGTGCAGTTCACCCTGGCCACCAATCCAAAACGCCGAGGTTGCCTGGAGGCTAAATAGAACATATGTATTAATTTGCCTTGAACGAACCGAAAGAACACAAATACGTTGTTATTTGTTCAATCCCCCTATGTAGCATCCAGTCACCGGGTGGAAGCAGGCTTACCATATGACGAAGGGCTGTTACTACACGTTCCGTCCCCATACAGCTCCAGCCATGCAGCGGCAGGGGTACTACTTGCCTGACATCGCGGCTATTTGATGTCGCTAATGGGCCCTACTTTGCCAGTTAAGGTTGATCCCAAGCATTCTTTTCACCCATCGTCCTTTTGAGAAGCAGCTCAAAGTCCCAGGAATGGTCGGCATTTCGGCATTTTTTTTGTTGTGAAGGACGTGGCCATGTCAAGCACCGTTCATCGATTCGGGTGAAATTCCTTTCGGGAGGTACCTTGAGCTTGAGACGGGTTCATGTCCGCGCCAGTTTCCAGCACGTCACTTGGTCTACCGTGTACCCGTATCTCAGCTTCAAAGTCTGGCACAAGCCGAAGCTGACCCTTTGGTCGGACACGTTTGCCCGGTGCCAGGCCCACAAACTCTGGGACATGAGTGTGTTCCAACCTAACTTGTGTCAGAAGCAGAACTTAACCCGGAGAATTGAATGTTTATTTGGGGCAGTCACAGCCAGAAATTCAAGCGGCAAGACGCTCTTTGGTTTCTTTTCTTGGTTCTGGGTAGGTCCTTTAGTATACCGATTCGGGTTCAATTGCTACGCTTTGGGCCAACTTTCAGAGGTCGGAAAAGCGGGGCTGGACGTTTTCATATTGTTTTTTTAGGGAGGGGGTCAATTTCCAGTCCTACAAGCCATTGGAGGGCTGTTTTAGACCAGAGCGAAACCACATTTGGCCAGGGTTCCCCTATTTTGGAGGTAACGTGTTCCAGTTTTGCCCTCGGCTTGTAAGATGAAACACATGCCCGTTTGCACCCTCGGGAGTTCCTACCATTTTGCAGCTCAGCCCGTGCTCAACATGTTTAGATACCAGTTGTTTGAGCAACGATTGGTCCTTCAAGGCAAGCGCCGGAACAAAAGGAGACCACTCCTGGGAAACCATGTGGGTACTTGTCAAAACTCTAGGCCCGCTCCAGATGGTCGGTTTCGCATGGGTTTCCTTTGAAGTTTACCAGGATGTCGATGCAACTTTGCAAAGAGGTCCAGTCATGGGCCTGACTCAACAAGGGGTATCTCAATCCTCTTGCATTCCCATCCATTCCCGCAAGAAGTCCCGAGTTTCGACCAATTCTCGCACCGGCCACCTTCTTGGTCCGACCTGGGTGCACGCAGCCGTTGCATCCATCGGTTTCAGGTTTGGGGGCAATGAGGGCAGGCGTTTGGTTGAGCTCCCGACGAAGGTGCAATCCAAAAGGCTCCCTTCCTCTACTTTATGTTTGGTGGGCTTCTGACTAAAATTGTAGACCCCAACCGATCCCGGCTTCAAGCCAGTTTCAAGCCGGGGACCCGAAAGTTCAAAAGACTTGGAGACTAAAAGTGCAGCAAGTCTTGCTTGAAGCACTGTTTTGACTTCTATTTTGGGATTTAATTCATGTTGGCGGGGAATCAACACATTGGGGTAATTTCAGTGGGTAATCAAATCATGTGGAGAAGTACCTCTGGTTTTCAGCAAAATCACACTCGCCAAGTCGGCCGCTGTCGTTTTCTGGTTTCCCTGACTTACTATATATAGAGATAAACGCGTGCTCCATATGGATGCAGGGCTCCCTATTTCCGCTTCATCACATGTGAGCCTGATTGTCGGTGAGCTTCCAGCTTCCCTTTGGGGCGTGTGTAAAGGAGAAATCTATAGGAAGCCAGGTTTTTGTGTTCTCTTCTGCAAAAGGAGAACCTCCTTTTGTTGATTGAAACCCACCCGTTTGAGACGAGGCCATGTAAAACTGGCTCCAAATGCTTCCGTCATCTCAGCGCCCGAAGCTCCTTAGACCATTTGACCATCTTGTTTTGTGGGGGGGGGGGGGCGGTGGTGGTGGGGGTGGTGGGGGGCAAGTGTTCTACTAGCAGATGTTATTTGTGGGGGGGGGGGCTAAACTATACCTAAGCCCGTCAACACTACAAGCATCTTGGTTGAACCAAAGCATGCTTCCACAATGAATATAGTAATGCTACCAACAGTGCCGACAAAGCCGGATTCCAAAAAGTATAAAACTGTTTTTAAAGCTGTACTTCCCTTTCTTTTTATATCATGCTTTGTGTTTCTCTTCATTCTGATTGAAATCCTTATTTGTGCCTATGATTCCTTCCTGCATTCCTTCCTTTATTCATTTATTAGTTATGTGCGTATTTGTGTGTGTGCGTGTTTGTTTTTCTTTCTTTTTTTTTTTTCTCTCTCTCTCTCTATGTTGTTCATGTGTTACCTCTTGTTTGATTTATCTAGTTTGGCTTTATGTGTTTGTTTCTGTATTTCGTTCCTTCTCTATTTATTCCCTTATCAGTTTTGTTTTGTTGTTGTCTTCACTTAATCCATCCATGGATATATCTATCGATCTACCTCTCTATCTACATGTTGGTTATATGTCTATCTATCTACCTATCTATTTCTCCATCTATCTATATGTTTGTCTATCTATATGTATGCATCTATATATCCATCCATTCATCCATCTATCTATTTATCCACATATCTGTCCATCCATCTGCCTGTTTGTTTGTGTGTCTGTATATCTATCTATGTGTCTATCTATTTACCCATGTCTCTGTCTAATCAAATCAATGCATCAATCAATGAATCAATGAATCAATCAATGAATCAATGAATCAATCAATCAATCAATCAATCAAGCAAGCAAGCAAGCAAGCAAGCAATCAATCAATCAATCAATCAATCAATCAATCAAACGATCAATCAGACAATAAGTCAATACAAATCAACCAACCAACCAACCAACCAACCAATCAAGCAATCAATCAATCAATCAATCAATCAATCAATCAATCAGTTAATCAATCAGTCAGTCAGTCAGTCAATCAATCAACCA